ACCTTGTGTGGGAGCATACATGCAGGAGAACAGCCATTCTTAATTAAGGAAACACCATGTCACAAACAATCAGAGCTGAGCCCTTTGGAATGTTCCCTCACATGCCGGCAGAATGTAAAGCCACCGTCAAATTTTCTGCATTCTGCATAATGTGCTGGTAATTAACCTTATAAACATTTTCTGAGCAAGCCTCATAGTTGATAAATGCAGTTAAGGGCAAAAATCCAGCAAGGTTATTGAATAACAATCAGTGCATCCAGAATGAAAAATAACCCACCTTCTTCTGAAGTAAGATATGAATAGACTTTACTCTTGTAATTAATGTTGCTGCATTTTGCATGAAGATGGGATATTTTTCATTTAAAGCCCATATGTTAATTTTCCTTCCTAGACAAGCCAAAAACCTTGACTCCTATCATCAGACCTTTGGTACCTCCTTCTGTTTCCATCTTGGGTCTCTGCCAATGCATCATTTTCTGTATTTGGACTTCCATGCTGGAGTTAGGGCACAGATAGTCACAAGAAACATTCATTTTGTTTTCATTCATACTGAGATTAAAACAAGCCACATGAAAACCAAATGTACTCCTACTACAGTGCATATGCCAAAGATTAATCCGAAAGGTGAGGAACCTTAAAAGCCTGGATTAATGAAAGCAAAATACAAGAGCTATTGTATAATAGGCAAATGATGGTACTGGCATTAAACAGTACCAGGCATCGATATATTGCAACTATCTTGCAAAGTCACGGTGATTTTGAATCTTCAAATAATTCTGGACAATGAATAGGAGACCTGTGGTCTAGCCCAGTTCTGCATCTGGTCCTTGGTAAGAGTTTAAGAACCTCATTTAGCTTCTAAGAAGCTTAAAGTCTTTTTATCTACCAAGAGTAGAGCTTGACCTTGAAAACTCCTATGTTCCTTTCCAAAGCTGATTTATTTTGTCATACAGCAGACACTAACACAACATTGTAAAGCAACCGTACTTCAATAAAAATTAAAGAATTTAAAAATTTTTAACAACAAAAAAACCCCCTAAAATTTGTATGAGTTTGAGAAGATTCAGTTGTTCTCTTTTTTTTCTTTTGGAAATATAAAGTAAATAACATCTTTGCTAAGGTGAAAACTAATATGTGGGGGGGTATGTATGTTTGTTTTCACCTCAGTTTCTAACCTTTTCTGTGTCTCAGTGGCTTGCCATTATCCAAGTGATAAAGATACTAGCTTGAGTCACAAGATCCTATAGAATCTGATCATATCCACACTGCAGATTCATCTTCTCCCTCCTGCTGGAAATCCGTATCTTGCATTCTAGGATACTGAATAGTTTCTTGAATGTGTTATTCTATTTTCCTCTATTCTCAGTGCCCTTTTGCATCACCCTCATTTACCTGAAAAAAAAAATCTATTTGTAATCAAAAGCCCATTTCAAGCAAGAATTATTCTGAAAGACTGTCTTGTGTCAAGAACCCTCAATCACTCCCTCGTCTGTACCAGTCCTTTGCCTCACATCTGTATTCTGCATTTATCACAGTTAACATATCTGATTCTTCATGAAACCAGTTGTATGTTATTTACATTACCTAACACTGTCTTTTACCTCAAGAAATGTTCAGAAAATGTGAGTGAAATTTAAATCCTTGAACTTTGTGATATTTTTAACAAACATGTGCTAATTTTTGTTCTAATTTGATAAATGAGTTTGAGAATATATGTAGTATTCATGTTGTCAGTTTAGTAATTTAAACAAGTGTTGACTTTAAAAAATACACAATGTGAGAGTTGTGAGTTAACTTTTATTGGGGGCAAAATGAGAACTATAGTTCAAGCGACAGCACCTCAGATAGCCCTGAGAAACTGCTCCAAAGAGGTAGAGGCGAAGGTCAAAATATGTGTTATTTTGTTGAAGGGGTAGTACATGTAATCAATCCCATATTTTTTGCAGAAGCTTTCTGCTTGTCATGAGGAGCAGTCATCACTATGAAGAATTTTAGTGCTTTTCTAGATACAAAGAGATACAAGAATTGAACTCTTAAAATTGGCTCCTGAAAAGATTTAACTATCTGAAGACTTGTGCTTCCAGTTTCCTCCCCCACAGCACCCCCACTCCACCACCCCCACCCCCACTGCAGGCTGCCTCATTTCTGCTCTCCACCTTGAATTCCTCTCAGAGGGTGTTGAAAATCAGCAGCTGCAAGAGCACATGATTTAATCCTTGTGGTAGATGGCAAGTGCAGTGGCGAGGGCCAATTTGTAGTTGATCCAACCTGTTAATACAACCTGTATACAGCAGATAAATACTGTTTCTTAACTATCCACCATTAGAATCAAAATTACAACACTAGAAAATAATATTTTGTACTGTATTAGGGAGAGAATTCATCATATATTTTCTCAGTAATCTTAAAATATAAATAAATATCTAAAATTCTTAATCCAAGGCCAAAAATTTACAAAGAGAGTCAAATTTTGTAATGAGACAATTAAAACAAATTTTGTAAGTTAATCTTATAAATTTCAGATCAGGATTTTAGATCCTATAATTTATGGAAATCAAGTATTGGCTCATGACCCATGAGCCCAGTTAAATTTCTAGGTTCTTTTATTTCATAATCACTGAACACAAAATTTTGTCTCTTAAAAAAATGAATACTGTTCCTTCATATTCTTAAAAATAAGTCCTCTTTTTATGGACGTATAGATAAAATTATATATAGATCTACATGGCATTTTTATATGTCAAAGATTAATACTCAGTTGTTAATCATAGATGTTTCATTTATTGGTAAAAGCACTACTAAACACTTTTAAGCTCTTCTTGATCTACATAATAAACTGTAGTTTAAAAATTGACATAGAGTATGAAACTAAAAAGCTTTAGATTTGTAATGGTGATTTCTTCCTATAGTTTAAAATTTAACATGAAAAATTAAAAATCTAATAAATAATATCCAGAACATATTATAAAAATATAAAAGGTCAAGTTCGATATTGATGCATTATATTTAGTCACACGATTCAGTGATTAAATATGCCTTGTACATAATTGTACATGTTGGTGTTCAGCATATACTTATTAAAGGAGGAAATATTTCCAATAATGGTTCTTGTAATGTGACTTCAAAAATGTTGCTTACTTTTATTCATTTAATTTTTACTTACATATAGTCAGAAATATATCCAGGATCAGTTCATATCTTCTCATAACTAAAGGCATAATTTCAGAGAAATTGAAAGAAAGTGATATTAGGAGTTACAAATATTTGTTTCATTTTTTTTTTGTTCTCCAGGGTAAACTCACTTTTTCTTTTGATCATACTGAGTAACACCTATTTTTATATTTTTATGTTTATAATATGTGATTATGTTTCTGCTTCACCTATCTGCCTCTCTTCTAAAGAAAGTTTGCTGAAAATAATTTTCTCTTTATTACTACCAGCTAGCACAGAACTAGGTATATAGATATTAAATAAGTGCTGGTTCAGTGAATAGTTAAATGGATGGGTGGATGCATGGATGTGTGGATGGATAAATGCATGATTGAATGAATAATGACAGAAATAAATTACTGTTTACGTGACTAAAACACAGGAACCATTTAACTGATTCATTGGTAATGTATATAGCATCCCAAAATCCTTTTATTTACAATATTTCAGATTTCATTTTTAGTTTTTCAATCTTTCCCAGATAGTCTCAGGTCAGCCAAGCTCACAGAAGCTAGTGCAGAACTGAATGCTAATTTAACAATGTACAGAAAGAAATACCACTGCTAAGCAGACAAGATTTATAGTTTCCTTGACCAATTTATGATCTCTGTAGGAAATCAAATGGGAAGCCAAGCTATAAAGACAAGTTTGCTTACTTCATATAAAGAATTAGTACAAAGAGTGTAAGGTGAATGATTATAATGTCAAATCATGTCATAAGCAATGAGTAGTTCAGAGTTGGCACTGCCAAATTTGCTTTTTGTTAAAACCTACTTCCCAGGCTAACCAGTGTGGTTCTGATCAACTCACTTTCCAGTTCTCAGTATCAAATATTACTTAAGCATTCATTTTCTTTAATACATTGCTCAGAAATTTATTGCTTATATATTTTTGTCTAAAAATAGCAAGCTATCACAAGAAATGTTGAAAAATACAACTTATTTGAATGTTAGGAAAACAACAAAACATCTGCACACCCAAGATAAGATTTATCTTCAAAATGTCAAAAGAAATACTCAAGTTAATTGATAAAGGGGAATATATATAAAATTAATTATTTTATATACAGTGATTTCATCAGGGCTTTGGGGATTAGAATCTATAACAGTAAGTATGATAAGTTCTGACTAATTTTTATTTTCCAGACTCATGAAAAAATAATGAATATTATATTCAAGGTAAACAATTGAAAATGTTATCTTTAAAATTGTTGTTTAGAATTGTTCTAGCAATATAGCTGCTTTGGTATTGTGAAAAATGGTGTACGATTAAACATCTAGAAATGTTGAATACATTTTTACAAACATATATTTAAATGGATAAGAGATCTCTCAATAGGTTGAGGTAAAATCCACATAAAGCAAAAGTGAAGAAAATAAGTTGAAAGTGATGAACAAAAAATGAAGCCACAACTATAAACATGTAACTATAGACACATATCTTACAGACATATGATGATACCAAGACCCTAAAAATGTGGGTATTGATCATCACTTGGAAAAAGGGGAAAGGTCTCAGAAGCAACAGAATTGAGATCCTCACATACACTGATAATCCTTAAGGCACTATATTTTCAGTGAAAAAAGGTAGACTAGAAAAATGTCTACCACGGTCCTCTGACCCCAGTCAGCGGAGCTCAGCAGTCATGGGCAGCCACATCGTGCTCTACACTGGCGCCAAGATGCCCAACTTGGGGCTAGGCGCCTGGAAGTCCTCTCCAGGCAGAGTGACGGAGGCTGTGAAGGTGGAGAGCGACCTTGGATTCTGTCACATTGACTGACTGTGCCCACATGTACCAGAATGAGAATGAGGTGGGTTTGGCCCTCCATGCGAAGCTGCAGGAGAAGGTTGTGAAACGTGAGGACCTCTTCATCGTCAGCAAGCTGTGGTGCACGTATCACAACAAGGACGTGGTGAAAGGAGCCTGCCAGAAGACGCTCAGCGACCTGAAGCTGGACTACCTGGACCTCTACCTCATCTGCTGGCCCGCGGGCTTCAAGCCTGGGAAAGACTTCCTGTTGGATGAGGACGGCAACGTGATTCCCAGTGAGAAAGATTTCGTGGATACCTGGACGGCCATGGAAGAGCTGGTGGACAACGGGCTGGTGAAAACTATTGGAGTCGCCAATTTCAACCATCTCCATGTGGAGAAGATCTTAAACAAACTTGGCTTAAAATACAAGCTGGCGGTTAACCAGATCGAGTGCCACCCGTACCTCACTCAGGAGAAGTTAATCCAGTACTGCAACTCCAAAGGCATTGTGGTGACTGCCCATAGTCCCCTGGGCTCTCCCGACAGGCCAAGCCCAAGGACCCTTCCATACTGGAGGACCCGAGGATCAAAGCGATTGCAGACAAGCACAGTAAAACCACAGCCCAGGTGCTGATCTGAGTCCCCATGCAGAGGACCCTGATCGTGATCCCCAAGTCGGTGACACCTGAAGTCGGTGACGCCTGAACGCATTGCTGAGGACTTCCAGGTTTTTGAACTGAACAAGGAGGATATGACCACCTTGCCCAGCTACAACAGGGGCTGGAGGGTCTGTGCCTTGGTGAGCTGTGCCTCCCACAGGGATTACCCCGTTCATGAGGAGTTCTGAAGGAGTTTTGAAGCTGCGCCTGTCTGCTCTTGGCCAGGTGACCTGCCATCTCCCACCTCACTTTCCTTGTGTGTATCGTAATTTGGCCCGTTTCCCTCAGTGGTTGGATCAGCCACTTCTAGACAAACCGCTGAGGGCTCGGCCAGCTTGGTATCAGGTCCAAAGAACAGACTCAATAGATTAGTAGAAGTCTCTTCAGTTTTCCTTTGTCCTTCTTGTCTGGGGAACTGGGGAACATGCAACCTAAATACTCTTTTCTAAATTGAATTTACAACATCAAAATAGTGCCTCTAACAGTGGGATTTTAATTGCTTGGTACTGTAATCCTTTCAGCTAGACTTTTCTTTGCCTCAAATAAAAAGTGCTTTTATGAAAAAAAAAAAAAATCTACCAGTAAAACAAACAGAAGAGCAAAGCAAGAGTATAAAGATTTTTTTTTTCTTTGTTTTAAATAAGATCCTTGGGGAAAGTATATGCAATTACTGGTCTAAGTTAGGAGGAGTTGTGGTTTTAGTTAAAAACACTTACATAATCTAGAAAACCACAAATTAAGAAATAGCACTGCGATCGGCACTGTGCTATGTTTAGTTTCTCAGTCCTGTCTGACTCTTTGCAACCCCATGGGCTGTAGCCCACCAGGCGCCTCTGACCATTGGGATTTTTCAGGCACTAATACTAGAGTGGGTTGCCATGCTTCCTCCAGCAGATCTTCCCAACCCAGGGACCGAACCCAGGTCTCCCACACTGCAGGCGGATTCTTTATTGTCTGAGCCACCAGGGGTAATTTTATATAAATATAAAGCAAGAGAGGAGCAAATGTGGTGAAATGTTAATATTAATACTTAGAAACTTTTTATGAAAAGCAAAGTTCTCTGTATTATTTTTGTAAGTCTTCTCAATATCTCAAACAATTAAAAGAAAAAAAAGAGGTCACATCATTGCAGAAGGAAAAGAAAATCAGCTCCAGATTATACTCTGGACTGGACTTCTCAGAAGTTTTTTGTTTTTTTTTTTTCCTCAGTATCATAAAAGCAGGGACTAAGAAATCCAAAAAGTACAGAATAATTGGGATCTCAATTGGATGAGACCCATCAAAGTCTTCAAATATGTGAATTATCAGGTATGGTACAAAATAAATATTTTGATTTTTTCTCAATTTAAAGATGTAATTTTTGTTTCTGTTTTTATTTTAAATTATACTTAAAATCTATTAGGCTAGGCTTGGGTTCTCTGGTTGTTTCAGAAGCATTATTGTCTAAATCAAAGATTTAAGTTACCTTCTTGACCTCTTCCAGGCATTTAAATTCCCTTTAAATGTCTCTCTGTTGTTATAACAATTAAATAACTCATTATTAATTCATAAATAAGATAAAACATTGTTCCCAATTATATGAAGGACACTTTTATAGTGTAGAAGTTTGTTTTTGATATATAATTTAGTGAAAAAAAAATCATATGCTGCTTGATCTTATAAAAATGTTTATTTAATGAATAATATGTAATGAAAAAATTCTGAAAGAAACTTTACCAAAGGTTAGTAATAGTTACCTTTAGGAGAAGAATATAAATATTCCAATTATTTTTCGGCTCATGAGAATCTTCTAATTTTATGTAATGAAAATATATTCTAACATAATTAACTTTAGAGGGAAAAGGAGGTACCCATCTTTTCTTTCTCTAGTTAATTCTGAACCATTCATTTCTTTATTCAATTACTTTATTTTTTGTTAAGAATGACATACTGATAATTAAAACAATCAATTTAAACAGAGCTAATGACTCAATTTTTCTTTTTCAATTGAATCAAATAAAGAAAATTTGAGTATCATAGACCTAATCTGTCTTTTGTTTCTTTAGATTTAAAAAAAATCATAATTCTGTGTGTTAAATGAAAGCAGGTTTTAAAGAATTTCAATGATATAGATATAGATTACATTTTTAATTTACTTTTTAAAATATGTTTTCACATACCCAGAGGTTGGAAACTACATTTCTACTTTTCTACTCCTATATATTTTGTGCATGTTATTAATAACATATGGGTGATTTTCACCCATACAGTGTACATTATATGAATTCAGCATGTGAGTAAATCTCTGGAATAAAATCTGAATTTCCCTCCCCCTTTATTATTTGTAGGTATAAAAATGCATATTCAATAAAGCAAAATGATTTTAATCATATGAACTTTTACTTGGGTTTCCCAGGTAGCACCAGTGGTAAAGAACCTGCCTGCCAATGCAGGTAAGAGACATGGGTTCTATCCCTGGGTCAGGAAAATCCCCGGGAGGAGGGCATGGCAAACTCTCAGATTTTATTCCAGAGAGTTACTCACATGCTGAATTCATATAATGTACACTGTATGGGTGAAAATCACCCATATGTTATTAATAACATGCACAAAATATATAGGAGTAGAAAAGTAGAAATGTAGTTTCCAACCTCTGGGTATGTGAAAACATATTTTAAAAAGTAAATTAAAAATGTAATCTATATCTATATCATTGAAATTCTTTAAAACCTGCTTTCATTTAACACACAGAATTATGATTTTTTTTAAATCTAAAGAAACAAAAGACAGATTAGGTCTATGAATACCTGGAGAATCCCATGGACAGAGGAACCTAGTGGTCTATGATCCATAGGATCGCAAAGAGTTGGACACAACTGAAGTGACTTACCTAGCAAGCACATTTACTTACCATCTCCCTAGCTCTATCCTCCTGGCTTTTTCTTTCCTTCTTCAGTTTAAAAACCTCAAACTCCTTGCAAGTCATCAGTATTTTGATTCACACTTTTTGGAAACAATCATGTTCATCATATGTACAGCCTGGTTATTGAAATTTATGTATATCCAGTCATTAATGATTAAACAGAATTGTTTCTGTGGCATAATAAGAAATATGTTTTTGATCTCTATCTCTGATTCCTGACATAGAACTGCTAAAACCCTTGAATTTCCTGTTAGTGGTGAGAGGAGAATCTTTTGTTATTCATGTGAGTCTCTTTCTATCAAACCTGAGTTTTTGCTAATGAGGTGACTCTTGGAGGATGGGGGCTGGTTGTCACCAGAAAAAACTAAGTGATTAGAGAGTTAGAACTTTCAGCCCCACTCCCTGACCACTGGGGTGGGGAGAGGAACAAAGGTAAGTTAATCACCAATTGTCAGTGATTAGTTAATCGTGCCTGTTTAATGGAACCTTTATAAAAACCTTAAAGGAGTTCCAAGAACTTCAGGTTTGGTGAGTATGTTTTGGTGCTAGAAGGATGGCATCCCTGGGGAGGGCATAGAAACATTTCATTCCTTAGAAGACATGTAGCACGCCTCATCGTGTTGGCTCTCTTCTACATGGCTGTTTCTGAGTTATTACTGTATCCTTTAAAATGCTGTTGTGCTGGCTGAGCTCACTCAGTTGTGTCCGACCCTTTGCAACCCCATGGACTGCAGCGTGCCAAGCAAAGTGCTTTCCTGAGTTCTGTGAAGCATTCTAGAAAATTACTGAATGTTAGGAGAGGGATTGTGATAACCTCTGTTATGGAACCAGTTGGTCAGAAGTATAGCAGTTCTAGACTTGAGAAGTGGGGACAGTCCCATGGGATTGAGCTCTCAACCTGTGGTGTCTGTGCTTATTCTGGGTAGTTAGTGTCAGATGTGTGAGTATAGAAAAAGAGTTCTTCCCTTTCACCTCTCATAGCTGGAGAGAGAGAACAGTCCTAATATGCAGTTCTTAAAATTTCACCTTTTATACTAATTTGATTCATGCTGGGTTTGACCTTCTTTGATTTGTTCATAAGTTGAACATCTCATTGTCCAAAAAGCTAAACTATAAGTTCCTGTTATATGCTTGACAGATTCTTCACTTGATGAAAGGAAAAGTGTGTTAGAAACCTTGAAACCTCTCCAAGAGGAAGGGGACATATGTATACTGATGGCTGATTTCATGTTGCTGTTTGGCAGAAACTAACAAAATTCTGTAAAGCAATTATCCTTCAACTAAGAAATAAATTAATTTAAAAAAGAAAAGAAAAAAAACCTGAAATAACTGATATCCTATAAAGTCTTTTATTCTTCACCTACCCCACCAGCTAAGAACTAGAACTAAGAAAACACAAGCTATTAATATATTTTGCCAAATAAATGAAACTACATAATAGTTTTAATGGTACCACAAAGAATAATTGGGATGTAGTAGCATATTACAATTTGAATTTATATGGACTTTCTCCCAGGATAAAGCAACAGAGGTTTTTCTTCATGATATTCAAATGTGCTTCTTTAATTTTGTTTTTTAACTCTGAACACTAATTGTGGTGCTACAGACAATATGTTGATGGCATTTATGTTATTCAAACTATTTTACCTTGAATATATAAATCTATAATCTGTCACTCTTCCTATACAAAACCTGAGAGAATTTCATGCCTTTCATTTGAAAAGCCTAGCAGCCTTATGTCTTATTTATACAGTATTGACAGAGGTCATTCTCTTCCTGGAACCATGGACATCTGTAAATTATCAGAAGCACAGGGTGTGTAATGAGTTATGCTGAGAATGGGAAAGTTTAATAGGAAACTGAGAAAGTCAGGTTGACCATTTATATTAGAAGAAACAATTTTTTAAAGTTGTATATGTAATTAATATATTTGCTCTTGACTTTTCACTTTCACTGCTTTATTTATTGCATTTTGTGTTTTGTAATCAAATGATGAATTGCAAGATTCTAGTCATGACAAAATTTTCACAACCTTCTCTTTTCGTTTTGCTTTAAAATGTCTGTTATAAGACA